ATATATATATATATGGAAAACACTACGCAACGCCTATAAGCGAAAATGAACAGTGATTTCACCTACCCCCATCACCGTCCAAAGTTCATCGTGCGGTCACGATTGCTTAATAGTGTTTTATTTTTCATTTTTTTCTACAAATCAAAATGACCTAAAATTTGGAGGGTGCATTCATCAAAAATAGAAAAATCTTTGAAAAATATAAAAAAAATATTTTACATGAAAAAAATTGACCAAAATACCTTGAAAATTTTCAAGGGTATTTTAGTCAATTTTGTTTTGGGGATAATTTGTTTTATATTTTTATTAGATGCGCCTCAATAAGATGTACATACCCTCCAAATTTTTGGTTATTCCGATTTATAGAAAAATAAATGAAAAATAAAACACTACTGGACAATCATGACCGCGTGATGAAACTTGGATGGAGATGAAGGTAGGCGAAATCACTATTCATTTTACACCTATAGACATTAAGAAGACTTTTCCTATATATATATATATATAGGAATAAGGTAATGTGGCTTCTTACATGGTCTCCACTTAGGCAATGTCTTCAAATATAAAAGTTTCAGCTTTCCAGACAGTGCAGCACTTTGATGGTGCCACCTTTACAGTAATAGGTCAATTTCTTATAGAAAAGTAATTCCTATAGAGAATTGGATGGTATTCCCTCTTGATAAAAGAGTATCATTTGCTATAAATAATTTTTTCCTTAACATAGGAGTTTTGCTGATGATCTCGATCATGAGAACTTTGGTCTAAAATGGTTGCTTGACTGAGTTTTGTAAGAAGGAACTTTATACCTCAAAAACTATGATGTCCTTGACAGAGTTTTGTCAAATGTTAAAGAAGAAACTCTATACTTCAAAAACTATGATGTAGCTCTCATTAGTGTAGTGGATTTAATTTGTCTTGCTCATAATTATAGCCCATTTAAGGTGAAAGGCATAAATCTTTATGTTGTGATTTGTGTTTTTATGTTTATTTCTCATACTCATATTATGGTTTTGTTCCCCTATTTTGTTTCTAGCCCGTTAAGTACATGATCCTTATGGAATCGATCTATTTAGAGATTCCAATTTCTGCGTATAAGTGGTTCTTAAACCCTAGCAATTTAACCTCCTTTTGGTGCAAATGGCTCAAGCTCGAAGTAGTAAGACAACAATATATTAATCAAAATTATAATTTGGGTGTCCTATCTTTAAGTACATGATCCTCGTGGGATCGACCTATTGGAGTTTCCGATTTCTTGATATAAGTAGTTTTCTAAACCCTATCAAATTTAACCCACTTTTGGTGGAAATGGCTCAAGCTAAATTTAACCCACTTTTGGTGGAAATGGCTCAAGCTAAATTTAACCCACTTTTGGTGGAAATGGCTGAAGCTCGAACTAGTAAGATGCAGCTATGTACCAATCAAAATGATGTTTTGGGTCTCCCCTGTGGCTTTCTTTCTTTTTGGTTGAGAAGAGGGGTGCATATGGAGAGAGAGAGAAGAGAGAGAGACTTTTAGGCTTATTACTTGGTCTTTAAATATTCGAGGGAAATTATTCTTTTTTGGGTAATTTAAGAGGGAAATTATTGGGCATGGCTGGGCTTGCTACGGCTGCATAAAAACCAGATGGGATCTGAATATGGATCCAAAAAGTGCACATGGTATCCAATATGGATCCAAGACCTGATCGGATCCAAAACTTGGATCCAGACCAAGTAAAGAGGTGTGGTTGGCATAAAGCCTAGGCTCTAAACAATCAAATTAGAGCTTACCTTCAAATAGTATCGAGAAATGTGGTTTCAAAACTGGAAATCTTCTTGATAGCCTTAAAATATATTTTCATCTTTATTTATAAAGTTTAAAGCTTAAAAAATAGTGTAGATTAAGAAATCTATGAAAACTTGAAAATCTTTAAAATTGACTGTCCAAAAATGCATTAAACTTGAATGGGGGGTGGTGTGGCCTGGGGCACAGGGAATGGGAGGGGGAGACAGTTAGGGGTGGATGATCATGGGTGTGGTTTGCCATTTCTATGTCAAAATCATTAAGTATGAATGAAGGAAAAAATTACAACATAAGAATTTATGAATTGGAAAGACACAGCAGCATTACCCGACTTGACTTCCTAACTTATCAGCTAGCTAGATTGTTATGTTTATTTATCATTTTTGTAGCATGGTATATGCACAAATAGATGTTTAAGAAACTAATAAACTAGAAGAAACAAAGTTCATAAGTAGCTATGACAAGTTCACAACATCACAATATTTTACAGTAAAATTAGAACCCAAGCCAAGTATTAATGGACCCCGTTTCTATGCGGCCAAGCCCGCATATATAGAAATGCGGGTCTCTTAATAAATCTATTTTTAAGATGGATTTTAAGATTTATTTTTGAAGGACATGTAATCTCTAATATGGAGATCATGAATATGAATAAATAAATAAGTTTTAAAACTAGAGATACTAATTCTAGTAAAAAAACATTTGGATCATTAGTTTCCATTGTTTTTAGATGGAACACCTACTTGTAAAGATGGATGCTTTAATAAATAAAGTGTAAAGATAGATGCTTTACACTTTCTAAACCGCATATGTAGAAATGCGGTTCAGCCTGCATGAAACAATTTTTCAATAGTAAAAGCAAGATGTTTAAATAATACTGAGTCAGTAATTACTAACTAGTCAATGGAAATCCAAACGAGAACCATGTGATATCCTATAACGCAATCTCTCACTCACTCTCTACTGCACAGTGCACACACAGTCAGAGTGTCACACACTACTTTCTATCGTTACTCTCTCTCTGTCTCATAAGCCAAGCTCTCTCTTTTCCTCACTCTTACTCTCTCTCCTCCCTACACACATCTCTCTCTTATGCACAAACAGACACCTATCTCTCTCTACTGCACTCACCTACACATTTCTCATCATTTCGATTCACTCACTCTACTTCACACAGTCACACACTACTCTCTCTTCCTCACTCTCATTCTCTCTACAGCACACATCTCTCTCTATTACAAGCACACACACACCTCTCGACTGTGCACACACACCTCTCTCTCGACTGTGCACACACACACGTCTCTCTCCCTCTCACTCTCTCTACTGTACACACAGTTACATAGTCACACACTACTCTCTCTATCCCTCACTGTCACACTGTCTCCTCCTTGCACAAACGTCTTTCTTATGCACATATAGACACACACCTCACCTGTCATATTCTCTCCACTCTCTCTATCCCATAATTCAAGATCTCTCTCCCTGGCTCTCATTCTCTCTCCTCCCAATACACACATCTCTCTCTCTTTCTTATGCACACATAGAGCGGTTCAATGAT